AAATTAATTTTTTTATGAAAAATGTTTTTTGTGTAACTAACTAAATTAATTTAATAAAAATAATTTATCAAAAATTAAATTAATTTCATTTTTGTTTTTCATTTTTTCTTTCTTTGATTAATTATTAATCTTTTTGAGATTTTCGTGAACTTCCTTAATAACACTCTTAAGCTCCTCAATTTTGTTTTTAAGCATGTTATTTAATTCGCTATATTCAATAGACTCAAGAAGAACACCAGTAATTCTTCCAGTAATTTCTTCATCATAATCTTCAATACCTAAAATGAAATCATATAATTGATCACCAAGATTATTCTTCATCTCTTCAGTGACTGTTGGAGCTTTTTCAATAGACTTTGATTGTTTTTTAATATTATTATCAACTTTAGACTTCTTTTTAGCGTTTTGAGAAGCACTAACATTTCTTGGTTGTTTATTTCCTGGTTTTGGTTGTCTGTTCATAGAAGTATTGAAAACAGATGGGAATAATTGGAAATATTGAAGGAAGTTAACTGGGAAACCAGGTATACCAGTACCATTATAATAATTGTTAGCACTACTTCTTTCTTGTTTTGTCTTAAATGGATTAGCAGTCCATCCAAGAACTTGAGCTTTTTGAATAAACTGATGTGCAGATTGTGCATTATCAAAACAGATGTAAACAACATCAGTTGGTTCAGAATTAACATACTTAATTTTAATAGAATAAATTCCACCACAATCCTGTAAAGCATCTCTTATTTCACCTTCAGTAATTCCAGCTTTATCTGTTTTGACGTGGAAATTATATTCTTTGTATTTGCCAGTAGCATTCATCTTAATTTCATTAGCATGTTGTTTAAATTCTTGTTTTCTTTCTTTTTTTGTTTTATAATAAGTAACAAGAATATCACTATCTCCAAGAACACAATGTCTTGGAGCAGTGACAGCTTTTTGAGCATCTTCAGTATTTTCATAATTCACAAACCCTTTATTCTTTTCATACTTTTCATCATATAAGAATCTGTAGAATTTTTTCCCATCAGCACCACATTTAATTGGTCCAAATGTCTCGAAATATTTAAGAAATTGTTCTTCAGTAACAGTTTTATCAATATTTCCAATATATAAATTGGTTTTAAGATTTTTAGGTTGTTTACAGAATTTAGCAATGAGGAATCCTTCATCACCTATTTCTTTAGCAATTTCATCTCTAGCATCAACAGCTGCTTGACACTCTTCAACAGTACAATATTTTACATATCCAAATCCATTTGATTCATTTTTTTCATTAGAACTTAATTTAACAGATAAAGTATGTCCATACTTTTCAAAAACTTCTTGTAATTTTTGTTGTGTAACAGACTTCTTAATATATTTAACATATAAATTTGTTTCATTTTGTGTTCTTTGCTTAAAATCTCTCAATGACCAGAACATATTAACTTTTTTACCTTCAATAAGAGTACCATTTAATTTTTTAATAGCTTGAAGGGCTGCCTCATGAGAGTTCATATTGATGTATGCAATAGTTGTATCAAATCTTGAGTCTCTATTAATGTGGACATTTGAAACTTGATTTGGGAAATCTTTAAATACTTCAGCAAATAAAACAGTTTCTGTGACAGATGTTGGTAAATTATTCACAAAAATGGTTTTATTTTCATTGTATTCAGCAAATGCAACACTTTGTGGAACAGTTTGAGTAGCCATTAGAATGAAAGTATTATTTAATTATTATTAGTACCTCAGGGTTTTTTAGGTTTTTTGTTATGACTTTTCACTATTTTATATAGTGATAATATCCCATTATTTTCCTTATTTTTACTCCCTTCTTTTTTTTTTTCTGATTTCATTTATCTTTATATATCTAGTTTCACTTTTTATATTTTATAATACTATTTATCATTAATAATTCTATTTCATTCCTTTTAATATTATGAAATGAATAGTCTAAATTAAATATATATCTTTTTCGTTTTGAAAAAAAAATAAATAAAAATCAAAACAACCAGTTTTATTCAATTAGTTCATTGGCATAAGAATCATTGGAGTAACTTTGGCTTCATGTTCCTTATAAACTTGGAAAGCAATTTTATCCATATCCTTTCTTCCTTCTTTAGTAAGGGCTCTTCCACTTTGGATCTTAGCAACTATGCCCATCTTCTCAAGTTGTTGAAGGATATATCTGTTAACTTTTCCTGATCCAAGAGTTCTGTGGGATGGGTTATAGTGTTTATTGTATTGGTCACCATAAGCTCTTCTAAGTGCCATTACTCCAATTCCATTATTCAAATAAACTTTTCTTGCAATTGCAGCAGCTCTAATATAAATCCAATCTGGATTTAATGGTGCAAGTTCTTTGCACATACCAGTCTTGACAGTATCAACCCATTCTGGAATTTCGAGCTTTCCAGACTTCTTAAGATGTTCGGCATATGCCTTAATGAAATCAATAGCAACAACGTCTTTAATATTACTGAAGTGGTGCATTCAGTCTGGTCAATTGCTAGGGTTATTTTCTCAGTTCAGGTTAATACAATCCTCATATTTTTTTTTTATAATAAATTTACTATAATCTTTAAATTATTTTTTTTCTTTTGAATTTTCATAAAATAACATTTTTCAATTTTTAAAATTAACAAAATGTTATTTATTATTTTTTAAATGAAAATGAAGAAAAATAAAATATCTTTTTTATCAGATTATTTGATTATTTAAAATGGATGAAACACAACCACTTATTCAATCCACCACTTCTTTTTTCAATTCTTTTTTTGCTACTGTTACTTCTTTTGAAACTCCATTAAAATCTGAAAAAGATATGGGGACATTATTATTTATTGTAAATGTTTTTAATGGGACTGTTGGTATTGGTTTAATTATGTTATTAGATGTTTTTATTAATTGTGGTGTTATTTTAAGTTCAATAACATTTACTTTAGTATTTATTAATATTTTGATATCAACAATTTATTTGTTTGACTCAATGGCAAGAACAAGTGGTGCAGCTGCTGCAATGGAAATAGGTGGATTTCCTAAAAATGAATTAGGTCAAATGATGTTTGACTTTCCTCGAATGCTTTCATTTCATTTATATGCTAAAGGGAGAATTATTTCATTTATAGTATCTATTTCATATTTACTTTCTGCTTTATGGTGTTCATTATCATTTTGTTATTTGTGTATTAGTAAAATTGTTAAGTCATTTGATGTTTTAGAAGATATAAATTTTGATTGTTCATTAATTTCATTGATTACTTCTTATGAATTAAATGGTAAAGTATGTGGAAGTTATTATGGAATTTCATTTGGATTTATGTTAATATTTGTTATTTTATCTATGATTAATCCTAAAATCTTTCAAAAATTACAGTTATTATTCTTTTGGTTTGTTTTTCATTTAATTATATTAAATAATAAGTTAGGATTTATTTCTTTAGTTATAGGATAGTTGCATTGGTACTAATGTTTACTACATTAATTATTTTCTTTTCAGTAACAAAAAGAGATGAAATTATTATAACTAGTTCAAGTTCAACACAAGATGATTGGTGGTTATCATTATGTAAAATCGGATATATGTTGTCTGTGTCTTTTTTTTCTTTTATTAATTGTAATACAATTATTGAATCTACAGCCCGTTCATATACAAAAAGACCATTTTTATATACTTTGATTGTTGATATTACTTGTTTTATATTGTATTTATCACTTTCACTAATGAACACTGAATTTTCTAAAAAAACTGGAATATTAAGTGATATTTGGGTAGAATACACTGGAATTGGAGATGGTTGGGAACCAATTCTTCCTTCAGATGGAAGTGTTGTTTGGGCAATAATTATTAAAATAATTATTATGTTATTACCAATTATAACAACATTGAGTGTTTATCCTCCTTTAGTTGTTTTTGCTGCACAAACTATTTATCGTTATTTTAATGTCCAAACATTTATTATTTATCATTTCTGGGTTGATGTTATTGTAAGAGCAGGTATAGCATCTATCCCTGTGTTTTTATGTATATTTTATAATGATTCGTTGACTGTTCTTTCTTTTGTTGGTATATCTGCTACAATAATTGGTGTAATGATTCCTTCATTAATTCAATTTGTTTCAGTTAAACATGTCCAACGAATTTTTGGAGAAGGAATGCATAAAACAATCTATACTGTGAAGTGTTTATGTTCAAGTGTTATTGCAAAGTTCATGGTTTTTATTGGGATTGTTGATATTTTGTTTGAACTTCTTCATTTTATATCTAGTTATTTCTTATAAGAAATAAAAGGTTATTTTAAATTATTAACCATTTAATGGTTGAGTTAAATTCCTTTGATTGAATATATTAATTATTCTTTAATTTTTAGATATTTTCTTTTCCATTTCCAATCCAAATACAATTAAAGATAGGTTCTTTGTTTTCAACTTTTGGAAATATTAACCTCCCCATGATATAACATTCCATTTTGGATAGATATTGTGGATTACTTTCTCGAGTCCAGAACTTTCCATAAATGGTAATTTTTGGATTTTTCACATCACATATTTTAAATATTAATATGCAGTCATTTTGAAATTGTATCTCATCTAAGAAACAATGAACTTTGACTATTTCATTAATTTTATTTAGTTTCATTAATTGATTTACTTCATATGATTTCGATAAAACTTTTGTAGGGGAGTTAATAACAGATATGTTATAACCAGAATTTATTTTACCAACCTTTTTTATTATTATTTTATTAGGTTCTTTCATATCATTTTTAAAAGTAGAATTAATTTTTTTCTTCATTGGTTCATAAGAATCTTTAGTCTCAGTCATCTATTTTTTCCTTTTGTGAAGCTTCTTAAATACATTATATCTGACAATTTTTTTGACAATCCACACAAAGAAAAAATCTGAAGTTATCAAAAGTGAAGATCATGACAATAAAAATGATTAAAGATAATATGAACCAAAACAAAGAATAGTTTAAAAGTAAACACTTTTTTATTCAGCAAGACATTGAACTAATCCATGTGGTGGTTGACCCATTTTTTGAATAAGTTCAACAATTATTTCCATTGGAGGTTCTGTAGATTGTTCAAATAGTTCAACAATTTTACAAACAGTATCATATTGTTTGATTCGTTTTTCAAATTCTTCTGATGTAATTATTGTTTTATTTTTTTCAAGCCATTGAGGGTATTGTTCTTTTAATTCTTTTATTGGTTCATACAAAATATCTTTAGATAAAAAGGGTCGTAACATACTAATTAAAGTTTCTTCAACACCAGTTAAATTTTTATCATCAGAAGACTTATCCTAAATTTTGTTATTCATATATTTATTTTGTTATGATTTTATATATTTGGCAAACAATTTGATTAATTTGGTTTATTAAGTCATAATAAATCTGTGATAAATCAGGAAATTGAATATCCCCAATAGACTGATTTGTAGTATTGCTATTTTCTTTTTTCTCCTGTTCAATCATTTCAGATAAAATATCTGGAAATAGGTAAGAAGATATTTGATTAAAAGCAGATACACAAACAAACCATCTAACTCTTTATCATCCATTTTTAAAATAATTTTTAGTACTTATTTTTTTTTTCTATTTTATGAATTTTTATTTAAAAAATATCAATGAAAAATAGAGATGTCAACAAGTAGATTAAAAGTTTAAAAAGTGAAAAGATGATATCGTTCAATCTCAAAAACCAGTTAAATGAAATCTCAAGAGTTACCTTTTCAAAAAAGAACAGAGCCAAAGACAGATTCATCTCTCTTTCAATACCTCTCTTCATTTACAACAAATGTTATGAATCAGTTATCTTCTTCATTTGTTCCACATTTTACATATAGTGGGAATCCTTATGTTTATAATGCTGTTTGTGATTGTCTCAATGAATTGGATTATAGTCGTTTAGAATATCAATGCAATAATGGTATTCCAGCTGAATTACGTGCGTATGTTTGGTATGCATTATTACTTCGTCCATCAAACCCATGGGAAATTAAACACCTTTATTCTGAAAAAAATGGAAAAGAATATAAGTCTTTACAATCAATGTTAAATACATTAGTTGATAATGAACAAAGTTTACAAGAAGGAGTTTTTCAAATGTCTAAAATTGATCAAAAAACTTTAAGGGTAATAGAGTGTGATATTATTCGTACTTTTCCAGAAGGGGCAGAATACCTTTTTAAAGAACCAAAAATTATTGAAATGCTTCGTCGAATATTACAAATATATTCAATTATTCATGTTGACCGAGGATATTTCCAAGGATTAAATGATATTGTTGGTATTATTATAACTGCATTTATGGAACCTAAACAAGAAAATGGAGTGTTTGTTGTTCCCAAAGACGAGATATTATTTCAAGTTGAAACAACAGTATATTTTTCACTTGAAAAGATAATGGATAAACTCTATATAAATCATTCAACGCAATTTCATGTAGATTTATTATGGACAGAATTTGTTGATATTGTTGATCGCTATTACAGTTTATTTTCAGTTGACCCCAAACAACCTAACCTTGATATTGTAAGACAACAATCATATAGATGGTTTGTTTGTCTTTTTTGTAGGGAATTTCATTTTCATTTAACACTTGCTTTATGGGATAATTTCATGTTAGACAATGGGTTTAGAACGTTTGTTTTCTTTTATTAAAGGTTATTTGTTATTAATACTCAAATTATTACTTTTTCCTTTAAAAAAAAATATTTCACTAATTTTTAGGTTTATTATTTACTTCGCCTTTGCAGTACTTATTAATATCACACGTTCTTGTGACTCTTCAGATCTTGAAAAATTTAATAAATCAACGAAAGAATTTTATAATAAAATGACTGAAAGTAATCTAAGTTATTTGATTACTAGCGCTTATAGTTATAAAGGAACAATAGCATCATTACAATCTTCATAATAACTCTTATTAATTTTGTTGTTTTATTTTGTTTTTATTTGTTACTTAAAGATTGAGATTTAAATTCAAAACAATCAATTTTCATTATGTTCGATATTCTCATCAGCAGGTTCTTCTTCGAATTCAATATTAACTTTAGGTCCTTTTTTGATTTGTGGATATTCCAATTTTTCATCAGAAGTTTTATTTTGTTTATATCCTAATAATTAATATTTATAATATTATTAAATGTAATAAAAAATTTATTCTTTATTTAATAAAATATAATTATTAAATAAAAACAAACGTTCTGCCCAATCTTCAACATCTTCTGACATATCTTCTTCATATTGAACTAATTCATTCTCTAATTCTTTTTCTATTTCTTCTTCATTTAATTCAACTTGTTGTGGGTTTTGTTCTAATTCTTGAAGATTTTCATATAAATCATCATAAACACCATCCTTCATTCTTTGTAATAATTGGTCTTTAATTACAAAATCAAGTTTGGCCATTCGTTCAGCTTTTTCAGCTCTTGTGATATCTCTTCTTTCTTCTCTAATATTAACTCTTTCCATCATTCTATCTTTAGATTGTGTTAATTTACGTTCTCTCTCAAGGTATTGATAGACCTTTGTAAGTCTTTGTTTTACTCTATGAACTAACTTTGGATTATATTCGTCGGTTAGTGTGTCAGTAACTTGTTGTAATGCTTTCATATAATCTTTATCTAATAACAATTTATTCCACAATTTAGCAGGTGTATGTGCTCTTTCAATACTCTTAGTAAATAAGTACACGTTTCCACCAAACTCTCTAATAGTAGCATATACACTATTTGCCAATGGACAATATAATCTACGACATTCACCCATCACATTATTACGATTACGGCAGAAATTACCAGTACAAGCCTTAGTCTTAAATGAACAAAATCCATGTTGGCATTGAATCCAGATCAAATCATCGGCTTGCATTTTTTACTACTGATTAGTTGATTTTCTTTTCAGAAAAAAAGTGTAGGGTTTTTTTGGATTTTATATAGTTTTAGTATAATATTTCTATTTTCAGAACATCAAGAAAATAAATAACATAATAATTCTGAATAACACAAATAAATCATTGAACCAATGAGATGATTTAATAGTATAAAAAACAATTTTTTAATTTACTAAAAAAAACCCTTAAAATAGAAAAGATAAAAAAAAGATAAGACAAAAATTGGTTCTAATAATCCACATCAGCGTTTATATTGATAAATGAAAAAGAAGAATATGAAAATAGGTTAAAAAATGATATAAATGTCAATAATTCAAAGATATATAAAAAAGATTGAAAAAGAGAAAAACAGATAATAATAAAAAGGATAATTCAATAATTAATAATAATAAAAAAGAAATAACCTTCGATGGTGTTCTTTTAGAACGAAAAGTCAGGGCATCTGTACTACTTAAAGGAGATGAAAGAGAAAAATTATTAATTAAAGTGTTTTTATCAAAACAATGTCCACATTAGCCGAAAGAAGAAAACAATCTCCACGTGAAAAGAAGACTGTTGAAAGGTTTTCAGAAAGTACAACACAATCTATTATTTTTAATGGAGACGGAAAGGCTCTAGGTGATATTCCAGAAATTGTTCATGTTATGAAAGGAGTTAAAAAAACAAGTAACACCGCTATCTTACTTCATAAAGTTTTATTTGGTACTTCAGGATATGCAGATGTTCGAAAAAAAGAAATTATGTCTTTCAATGGAATTAAAGGAAATAGTATTTATGAGACAGAATATTTAATCGAAAAGAAAAGACAATATTTAGAAAAACAAACATTTGTTAATCTTATTGAAATTTGTAGACTCTTTTGTTTAGCTGCTGCTTCTAAAGAAAAAACAAAAGAAAAGTATGTAGATGAAATTATCAAATTTATGAAAAAACCAGGTGATGTTAAAATTGTTATTACTGAAAAAGATAAAGTTGCAGTTGTTAATGAACCAGAAGATGATGATGAAGAAAAAGAAGAAGAGAAAAAGCCAAAGAAGCCAATTAAAAAAGAAGAAAAAGAAAAGAAAACATCAAAGAAGGAAACCAAAAAAGAAACAAAGAAAAGTTCTAAAAAAGAAGAAGAAAAAAAGAAGAGTTCTAAAAAAGAAGAAAAAAAACCAAAAGTACCAAAGGTAGAAAAGAAAACAACTTCAACAAAGAAAGAAGTTAAGACTAAAGGAAAAAAGAAGTAAACAATACAATTTATTCTTTGTGTGTTTTCATTTGTATTGATTTATTGTTTTTAATTGGTTTTATTAGTAATTTTATCATACAATTATTTTAATAGTGAATAAAGATTGTATTTGTGTATAAGAGTAAATTTAATATAATAACAAACATTCAAATTGAAGAATAAAAAAGTTTATTTAAAAAAGTTATAAAAAGAAAATTAAATAAAATATACTTTAAACTTAGTCAATGTAAAAATGCATATTTAAAGAAAGAGTTATTTAAAAAGAGTTATTTTCATTTATTAATTTAAGAAGTGTTGAAAATTAGTCATCGTTTATAATTGAGAAGTATTTAAGTTATGTATCTTTCATATAAAATATTTTTCAATTTTTAAAATACTAATATTGTTGAATTATTTAATTTTTCTTCATTTATAATAATAAAAGTTTATTTCGTAATGAAACGGAAGTATTAATAAAAATATAAAATACATTATTAGGTAATAACTAAAAATAAAAAATATTTCAGATACAATAACATAACTAAAGAAAAACAAAATATAGAATAATAAGAAAAAAATGTATAATATCTCTAAAAAACAATAGAAAATAAAATACAAAAAAGGAAATATAATATCAATTTTAATCAATGAAAAAATCACTTATGACTTATTCAACTTTAAGAACTCCTTGTGGGCAAGCATCAACACAAGCACCACATCCAATGCAATCATCTGGGTTTTTAATTTCAACATGATCATTTACTTCAAGAACACTTTGTGGGCAAGTTCCAGCACAAGCACCACAAGCGATGCAATCATCAATGTTAACAATAGTGATCTTTCCCATTAGATTTGGATGATGAAATTAAACAGATAAGTTATTTAAATATAATTCGTTAAACTATTTATTTTAATTTAATAAACTATTAGTTTAATTTATCAAAAACTTTAAATTAACTTTGGTAATAATTTTTACTATTTTCCCGATTAATTAGTATTTTTATTCTTAAATTTCTATTTTAGGGTTATTTATCTCAGGAAAGAACCACCTAATTCTTCTTTTAAAGTTTTTCTCATTAATTTATTTCTGAAACTATTATTTAATTTGATGAATTTTCATTACAATTTCATCTTTTAAACAAATTAAAATGCTTTTGGAATAAAAAAATGTTTTAAAAAATATATTTTTTAGAAAAATAATTCGAATTCTTAAAATACAAACAACTACCCAACGACGAAATGTAGTTCAAATCAAAAATTAATAAAAATGATAGATAACCTTCTTCTTTATTCAATTTACTGAACAGTTAGCTGTTAGTCTACAATGCAAAATGGTAATTATTTATGGGATTATAATTTTAACACAAATTATAAAAGTATAATTTTTTTTATTAAATTTAACTAAACTTTTCTTTTTTTATTTTTAGTATGATTTAGTTAATAAATCAATTAATCATTTCAAAATTAAATACTAAAACAAATTACTAGTTATCTAAAAATAGTTTTGAATGTTATTTGAAAAGAGAATTTTGAAAATGTGAAAAATTGAAATTTGTGTTTATGTTATGCAGTTTAAATAAAAAATCCCATAATCATATAAAAAAAAACAATTTCAAAACTTAATTGAGAAGATATTACACACTAACTTAATTTCTTATTTTATTTAAATCACAAACAAACTTGTCATTTAAATACAACAAATTAATCTTTTTATTCATTCATATCTAATGGGAAAGATCACTATTGTTAACATTGATGATTGCATCGCTTGTGGTGCTTGTGCTGGAACTTGCCCACAAAGTGTTCTTGAAGTAAATGATCATGTTGAAATTAAAAACCCAGATGACTGTATTGGATGTGGTGCTTGTGTTGATGTTTGTCCACAAGGAGTTCTTAAAGTTGAATAAGTCATAAGTGATTTTTTCATTGATTAAAATTGATATTATTTTTTAATTAAATTAAAATAATAAAATAGTTTAAGGAATAAAATCTTAAAATTATTTATTGGATGATGATTGATAACAGATACTTCTGAGTAAAAAATAATAAAACAATCTTTGTTTTATATAACACTTTGAAGAATAAATTCAATCTGACAAATCAAATCATGCAAAAAGAAAAGAGATATATATCTTAAAAAATAATTAATACTCAAAAAAAAAATAATAATAATTGAAGAGATTGAGATATTTATCTGTTTGGATTTTATCTTTTTTTATTAATACATATAGAGAGTAAAATAAATATACTTGACAGATACTCTATCCTAATAGTTTCAAATTACTTTAAAATAATTAAAAAAGAGTTTATTGATATGATAATGATGTTAAAAAATACAAAGAATTATTATTAATATTTTATTATAATTCAATACCTTTTAAATAATTCAACAATGTTATTATTTCCAAAAATTGAAACATTATATTTGTATAACTTCATTGATACAATTTATCCAAATTATATAAATTATTTAGTTAATTATTATATAACTTCTTCTAAAGCAATAAAATTAAATAAAGCCATTTCTAAATTCACATTATAAGCATATTGAACATAATAATTTTTCATTACCAATTCATGATATTGTTACTAATCTTAAAAGAAATGATAACTTCTTTGATTATTATTATATTTTAATTACATTTCCATAATTTAATCATATAACATATTTTATTTATTTCTTTGGAATTTAAAATGAAAATTAAACTTATCATTTATTCTCCTCTTCCTATTTGCTTCGACAATTCTTCTTTAAATAATTATTTGTTGTTTGGATCAAACTATTTCTATTTACTTATTCACTTTTAGTTCTTTTTCTTCACTTCCTACTCTTAACTCCTCTAGAAATTTGTGTTTTTATTAGTTGTTCTTCATTAACTACTTTTAAAATTCCTTCTTCTATACTTTCAATTCAAAAATGATGTTTCTATACGTAGACTTAACATTTCTTTTTTCTTAAGTAATTTCATTAGGAAATAATTGTTTCTCCTGTTGTTGTTCTTTGTCTGAAATTAATATTTTTCATGAAGTTCACTCAATTTATGAAGGCTCTTTTATAACAGTATTAGTCTTAGAAATTTAAATCTACTTAATTCTTTAAGAGTAGTAGAAACCAATGAATTTAGGCAATGTACAAATCTAACAATTAGATGATCAAAATTAATTAAATGATTTCCCTTTAATACTTTTGAATATTTTACTGATTGTTTATTCAAGAATAAAATGAGAAAATGATTATATCTTCTCATTATCAATTGACTCTTTCTTATTATTTTTATTCTTCTTCTTGATTGTTAATAAAAACTTAAAAATCAAAAATAAAAAAAAAGAAAATCTTAAAATAAATTTATAATATTTTGATGAAAGGAATAACCATTCTTTTATTTATTGTATTATGTTCAGCAGATTTAAATGTATTAACTCGTGAAGATATGGTCAAAAAACAAAAGGAAAATGCTGCTAAAAAAATATTAAAAAGTGAAGAAAGTATTAGAAAAATTAAAGAACGAACTGAAAAGAAAAAAAGAAAGAGCAAAAGAATTGTAGAAAATGCTCTTTCCTTACTCACTGAAAAAGAAAGATTATCAATTCGTGATATTATTGATTCTGATCCAGAATATATTAGATTTAATTCAAACGAAAAGGTAGCTAGATTTGATAATAAATTTAACTCAAAAAAGACATGTACTGCAATCGAAACATTAGTTAAACCAATGTTGAATAACGTTAATTCTACTAATGGAACACAACCAAATTCAACACAACCAATACAACAAAAACGACAAAAACAACAGTTAAAAAAATGTCAAATGAAACATGTTAAACATATTCCAAGAAATAAGTGTATTTGGAAAAAAGACAAATACGTTTATAAGCAACCAAAACAAAAGTATTATGCTCTTGTTGATAATGAAAAACAAAGAATTCTTTGTCCACTCCCAAAAGAGAAATGTCATCCTCGAATAATTAAAATTGATGTCAATAAAGAAACTGAAAATGCTAAACGTGCAATTAAATTGATTCATAAAGCTGGAAAGTTGTTAAAAGAAAATGACATGTTCTAATTTTTTTTTAATTGAATAATATTCGTTAAATCATAGGGGATTTTATTATACTCTATTAGTATGTCTTTCTTGGAAAGTGTTAAAAAAAGTAATCTTTTTTAGAGCATCAAAAAAGTTAATCAAAGATACTTTAGTGAATGGAAGAGACTAGAGAAGATGACAACGTTGCATTTTCATCACCTTTAATCATTGATAATATTGCGCTATTAGAAAATGGAGATGGGACTTTTACTTACAGAGAATTATTACTCAATTTATGTATTAAAGAAGAAAAGTATTATGGATTAATCCCTTTTAATAACTGCTGGCCAGCAAAATTATTTGTTCAGAAGATTTTTACTGCTTGCAATCGTTTAGAATTGAGCCCTATTACAACTCACACTGCAGTAACGTTTGTTCAGTATTATAAATAATATTTCTTTAAACAGTCAAAAGATACAAGAAATAGTAAAAACTTATTTATTGTAGAATATTGAAACGGTTATGTGTAGTTAATTCTTCATATGTTCAAAAACAAAATCCAGAAATTATATGTTTTATATGTATCAGTTTAGCAAGTAAAATATATGAGAAAAGAAGAAGATGGGTCAAAGAAATTTATTATGACACTTCATTGGTTTGTTCAAAAAGAGAATTTACTATTAAAGAAATGGAAGTATTAAAAATGTTAAATTATTATATAGACCCACCAGTTCCAATCCAATATGTTAATCTCTTTCTTGAAGTATATTTTAATAAAAATCAGAAACTCAATAAAATTGCTACTGACGTTTGTCACTTGCTATATAACTCTCCTGAAATGCTTATAGCAAATCATTCTTCGTTAATATGTGGAATAGTTGTATTATGTGTATCACAATCCATCTTAGATGGTGGTGCTTCAGGCATTATGTTGTCTTGGGCTAAAACATTTGTTTCTACTTTAGACGAGATTTGTGAGTTATCTAATCAAGTGTTAAAATGTATTTTTAAAGGAGAACTTCTAAGTGAATTTGAATTTCATCCTTAAAACAATCATTTAATTAAGAAATTAATGCTAAATTATTTCTAATTTGTTATTTATAAAAACAAGATGATTGTATCTATTAAAAGATTTTATTCTTTTTATCATCTCTTTTTCAATAAAAATTTAAATCATTTGATTGTTATTCTACTGTATAATGCATTTAACTACTGTTATAATATCCATTAATCAAATTAAAAAGACTTTGTCAAATATAATTCATACAATTCTTTTAATTTTCTGAAAATAATAAATATTTTTAATATCCTTAAAGTTTAGAAGTAATTTTAGTATTAAAAAGCTCTTTAATGTCTTGGTTCAGAGTATCTATTCTTTATTACACATTTTATATTTTATTAACTTACTCAAATTATCATTCTTTTTTTACAAACATCTTTCTTTTTGCTCGTTTTTATTTATTCAATATCTTTTATTGACTTTTTTTTTTATCAAAGAATACTCTTAATATCAGTCTTATTTCAAGTAAATAATAATTAAATGACTAGTCTTTATTTGATGCGTTTGGTACTTCTTAAGATATTCAATAATATTTATATCATTTGGTTGAAGATGTTTTATAATAACAATTCTTTAATAAAGAAATTACTAAATTTAAATAAGGATAACTTCCAATACAAAAATTGGTTTATGAAAAGAAGAAATAGACTTAAGAAAGCAAAAACATATAATGTTGTTATTATTTTAAGCAAAATATAAAGTAAAGATTATAAGAAGAACAATGACAAATTAAAACAATATAAATAAAC